GGAAATAGACAAAGTTCTGCATGGTAAGGATCCGGCAAATTTTGAAGACAGACACCAGATGCCATATGTGCAGGTACAATGATTAGTGGATTAGACGTATAATCACAGTGTATGTATCCGATTTTTTTTATACTGAGAAGTCCAACCTTGTATGTATCTCTGAGATGTTAAATGTAGCAGCTGTCTCACTTATACAGGCTGTCACTCATGAAATCCAGAGAGTGGCTGACATTGGTCCTTTTGGTATTTTCCATTGCACCACTAAGGACACAGAGCTCATGGGATAGTCCATACCCAGGGTAAGGATGGGCCCACACTAGAGAATAATCTTATCATAATCTTAATAGTTCTAAAAAAATGTGAGAGCACAGACATAACACCTTTAACAGATGTTTTCATATTTTAATCTTAAATGCACACACACACTAAGTGATTCAGCCAAGAGGCAGGACATTTGTCATTTTTACTAAATGATTTCAGAGACTCTGATTCCAGGGACTGGGAATCTCACAGAAATTTGCATGAACAAGTGTGACTTCAGAAAAAAACAAACATAGAGGTGGACATTTGTAGAGAAGCAGTAGTACTCAGCACAAGCTGGAAGTGAGTTGGAAATTGAAAAAAAAAATAAAATAAATAAAAGGAAAAACTGGCTGTTGCAATTCAAAATTGGGGGCCCTTCAATCCTGTCAGAGACATACTGTAATGATTAGGTCGATCAACACTACAGGATCATTTGGCCAGAGAATCAATTCCAAGCGTCCTCACGTCTGGGAATGACCACACAGTTGTCAGTAAGGCTCAAAATCAATTATCTTGTAGTGTGGAGCTAGCTCAAGATAAAATACTCTGTTCTATTATTTAAAAAAATTACATGAATGAATATACCTCTAAGCACTTACAGTAGATGTAATATATACTTAGAACCATGTCCTGCCATGAAGAGGGGGTGACAGTGGTGCAGTGGGTAGAGCAATCATCTCCCAACCAGAAGGCTGAAGTTTCAAATCTCAGTGCCTGCACATGTCAAAGTGTCCTTCGGCAATACACTGAACTCCCCCAATGGTTAGAGCTGTCGGTTGAGTTGGCGCCACAGATGGCTGCCATTGGTTCTGTATCAAAAACAAATTCCTTGTGTGTAGCATACTTGGCCAATAAAGGTGATGGTGATTATCCTTAAGGTACAACATTTCTTCTGCAGTTACTTTCTCAGCTATCAGCCTGTAAAACATCTATGTACACTTCAGTGGAAACATCTTTACAATGTTGTTTCACTTATCACTGTTAAAAGTCATAATTTTTATTGTATTTGTGTGGTTGTCTATGTACATACTAGTGTGCAAAATACTACTAAATAAAATAATTAGTTGATGTAGTTTTCATTATACAGGGTTGATAATACACAAAATATGTAATATAAACAATGTGAAAAGGGGAAGATCCAACATCAAGTCATATACAGCAAATAACCGAGATTTATCATGTTATTCTGTTGGTCAAAGATTGCAGTAGTTGGAGAGTGAGGGTATTTCATATGTTTCACTGTAGTTATAGAAAGATGTAATATGTGTGTCACACTGACAGGATGGGGGTGTGTCAGGTGTGTCCACTACACCTACCAACCAGATGAATTGGTTGATTCGATTACAACACCAGACAAGAGGAAAAGGGAAAACAGTCTATATTTGTGGTCACAGTCTGACACCACAAAAATGAAAATATCCACAACACACTTAGGTCAGGAACACAGTCCGAAAGCCGAATACCAAGTAAGCATCCAGAGGGCAGGGCAGAACAGACTAGTCAAAGAGCACGATCCGGGTCAAAACACAAGATACCAAAACCAATATAAATGCTAGAGAGTCAGAGCTGAAGTCTAGAACAATCTGGCAGCGTCCTTGTGGGAGGATGCTGCCTAAATAGAGGTGAAAACAGGTGTAAACTATTGCGAGTGATGAAGAAAGTAAAAAGACCGAAACTGTGGTGAAACAAAACAGGAAGTAACGTCAAAATAAAAACCTGACAGGAAGCAGCAGAACCAAATCATGACAGGGGTGTATGTGGAAGTTTGGGAAAAAAGAACCACAGTGATGAGAGTCATTGTTAGATCTGCTCGGACACAGAGGTGAGCGAGTCAAAAAAATGACGGACCCAGGTGGCTTCGGTGCAAGTAGTGCTCAATTTATTTACAGTGATATTACCACACAAATGAATAACCAGGTAGGAGTGGGACCGGGTGTTGAGCCGCAGAAGTGGAGCAACAGTCAGTGGTGGAATGCTGAGGGAAAGACCGGGCTGCGGACGCTGGGACTCACTCCTGGGCTGGTCGTGGTGGAAGGTTGCTGAGGAGACAGAGTTTGTACAGGCAGTTAATGGGAGACTGTGCATCGACCTGTGTGGTGGAGATGGTGCGGGGTTGGGGAGGTCCGTGGTCCGGAGAAGCGACAGAGGCGAGGAGGATGAGACAAAGGGGCACAAGACTGGAATGAAGCTAGGGCGAAAAAACGTGAGTACAATACGAAGCTAATAATAATGAGAAACAAACGGGCCTGATGATACTAGAAAGAACTGGCAGGGGAGTGAACATTGAGCAGGGAATAAATAGGGAGAAACTAATCAGGTGCAGCTGGTGGTGATCTTGGGATGTGAAGCAGGTGTGTCAGATAACGTAATCAGGGTAGGGAGCAAAAACAGAGTGAGGGAAGTGAGAAAGGCAGGTGCAGCCGGACAAACCTGACAGGACCCCCCCCACCCCCAGACAGCCAAAACCACCATCCCAGGGAGGGAGGCAGGGGCCACCGGAAGGAGGGACTCACCGAGGCCCCCCAGGCTTGTCCGGGTGTGCGCGATAGAAGGGGGTGAGAAGGGCAGGTCCTGTATGGTAAACGGCCCCAAGAACCGGGTCGAGAGTTTGGGGCATGCACCTTTAATGGATATATGAGCAGAGGAGAACCACCCTTGTTGCCCAACCTGGTAGGTGGGAGTGGCCCGATGGCGGCGATTGGCCAGCCGTTTGTTTTGGCCGGCCGTGCGTAGCAGGGCGGCCCTGGTCTCATCCCAAACGGCCTGACAACGGGTGATATGGGCGTGGACTGAGGGTACCGCAATGTCAGTTTTGGCAGCGGATAGTAGGGGAGGAGTAAGGGAGAGATACCTGTGGTGGAGCTAGAGAGTGTGTTATGGGCGTATTCCACCCAGGGCAACAACTGGCTCCAGTCCTCTGGTGAGGAACTGGTGACACAACGGAGAGCGTTTTCCAGTTCCTGGTTCAGCCGTTCAGCTTGGCCGTTTGTTTGGGGGTGATAACCGGAGGAAAGACAAGGACGTGCTGTGAGGGCAGTGCAAAAAGCAGACCAGACGTGAGAGGTGAATTGAGGACCACGGTCAGAAAGGATAGTGATGGGGATGCCGTGAATATGAAAAACGTGCTGAACCATGAGCTGCGCGGTTTCTAGAGCAGTGTGGAGTTGAGGAAGGGCAAGAAAATGGGCGGCTTTGGAAAAATGGTCAACGATGGTGAGAATGACAGTGTTGCCCTGGGAGGGAGGCAGGCCGGTGACAAAATCCAGGGCAATATGAGACCAGGGCCGACTAGGTGTAGTCAGCAGCCGAAGAAGACCTGCAGGAGACTGATGGAGCGGCTTGGCTTGCGCACAGGGAGCACAGTGATGTTATCCTCAATCTCCCATGTAATGGAGGCTACCATACAGGAGGCGGGCAGAATGGTTTCAGGTGTGTCTTCAGCGGCTGGGGGGTTGTATTGTCGGGAGAGGGCGTCTGGTTTCTGGTTGCGGGACCCCAGCCGATAAGAGAGGGTAAACCGGAACCGATCAAAGAACAAGGCCCACCTCGCTTGTCGGTGGTTCAGTCTCTTCGCTGACTGGAGGTAGGCCAAGTTCTTATGATCGGTCCAGACTAAAAAAGGTTGGTCGGCACCCTCAAGGAGGTGCCGCCATTCCTCAAGGGCCATTTTTATGGCCAGCAGTTCTTTGTTTCCCACATCGTAGTTATGTTCGGTTGGGGTCAACGGTCGGGAGTAGTAAGCACAGGAGTGCAAGGCATGATCTTCACCGGACCACTGAGAAAGGACCGCTTTCACCCTAGTGTCGGACGCGTCCACCTCAACCACGAACTGCCGTGAGGGATCAGGTTGGAGGAGTACGGAGGCTGTGGTAAACCGGTTCTTGAGTTCTTGGAAGGCCTGCTCCACTGTCCTGGACCATGCAAACTTCACCTTGGTGGACGTGAGCTGTGTGAGGGGGGCTGCAGTGGTGCTGTAGTTCTTGATAAAGCGATAGAAGTTTGCAAAGCCCAGGAAGAGTTGCAGGTCCTTCAAACAGGTGGGAGTAGGCCAATCGGTGACAGCAGTGATTTTGGAGGGGTCGAAGTCTTCCCTGTTCTATGATAAACCCTAGGAATGCCACGGAGGGGGAGTGGAAGACGCACTTCTCTGCTTTAAAATAAAGGTGGTTTTCCAGGAGTCGAAGAAGGACCTGACGAATGTGCTGGGTGTGCTCTGTGAGGGAGGAAGAGTAAATGAGAATGTCGAGGTGTGTCAGATAACGTAATCTGGGTAGGGAGCAAAAAAGAGTGAGGGCTGCAGAGTGAGAAAGGCAGGTGCACCCGGGCAAACCTGACAGTCATAGTAACTGTATGTGTTTACACGTTTAATAGAAATCTCTTCCTCTTGTTTGTTCTTCAGGGAACTGTTATCATCCCCAACCTGTCCTCAGTGTTGTTTGAAGAGGGTCAGTGGAAATCCCCCCATGTCTTCAACCCTGAAAACTTCCTCAATGATAAGCAAGAGTTTGTGAAACCAGAGGCGTTCATGCCTTTCTCTACAGGTGATCAAAATGATTATTATAGTCATACAAACACAGAAAGATTGATTGGGAGATCTGAAATATATACTGGGTTGTAGAACGTATTTGTCATTTGTCATGCTTGAGTTATGGGTATTTCAAATCACAGGTCAACAGATGTGTCTTGGAGAGGGTCTGGCTCATATGGAGCTCTTCCTCACTGTGGTGACCCTGCTGAGGAAGTTCACATTCATCTGGCCTGAGGATGCAGGGGAGCCAGACTTCACTCCTCTCTTTGGATTAACCCAGACCCCTAAACCTTTTCACATGAAGATTCAGCGCAGAGGAAATACCTGATGGGTCATGATAAAGCTCTTCCAAGACAGAGGTTGTCCTAATGCTGTAACTGCCTTAATGCACCATCAAATTAAAGTCAACTTTTAAACATAAAAGCAATTATCAGTCGTTCTATGTACAATGAATCAAATCACAATGTGTATGTCAAGGTCAAGATCAAAGTATTGTCATATGCACAGTTAGTAAACGTGTTTCCCTGTACAATGAAATTCTTACTCCACATGAATGCCACACAATACAAGTGAAGTATAAAATAGATAAGCAATAACAGAAATCTAAATAGGCAGTAACACAAATCTAAGGCACTTTAAAGGAGCAAGTGAAAGAAGCATAATAAAAATACAACAAGAACACAATATAATTGTAACCTGGGTGAAAATATTATGCATCATAGTTAAACATCCTCAGAAAGTGCATTTGCTTCGGAATAATAGTTACTATAAATAAGCTGATTTTGTAAGATGAATATGGTTAAAGGCTTTACAGTGATTTATTTCATGTTGCTTCAAGGGTTCAAAGAAGTGTAGAATATTATTATTGGTCATCCATTGTTAAAGGTAGTGACACCCAGAAAAAGGAGAGAAGAAGAAGAAGAAGAAGACGAAAGGAAGTAAGAAAAAAGGGCGGGACTGGGATGAGAAAGAAGGGAGAGAGAAGAAGAGAGCAGTGGATGCAGATGCGACATGTGCCGTGAACTAAAATAGTCAGCAGTGAGTGTGCAATTATGCATGTGCAAACTGAGTATGTAAACAGTACAGGTGGAATTATATGAGGTAGTTCCTGCGTCAGTTGTTTAGGAGTCAGATGGCAGTTGGAAATAAAGAGTTTTTCAGTCTAGAAATCCTGGATTTCACACTGCTGTTGCTGTGCAACAGCCCTGCTGGGGGTGGGTGGGGTCCATGAGGATGGAGGCAGCTTTCCTACACATGCTGCAGTGGTAAATGCTCTGCAGAGAGGGCAGTGGAGTCCTGGTGATCTTCTCCGCAGTCTTTACCACTCTCTGCAGGCACTTGCGGTCCATAGCAGTAGTGCTGCCATACCAGACAGTGATGCAGCTGCTCAACATGTTCTTGACGATGCAGCTGTAGAAGTTGCTGAGGATCCTAGGTGACATGCCAAACCTCCTCAGCCTCCTCAGGAAGTACAGCCACTGTTGGGCCTTCTTGACCAGCTGTGTGGTGTTATGTGTCCAGGTGAGGTCCTCACTGATGTCAATGCCCAGGTATTTGAAGCTGCTCACCCTCTCCACATTGAGCCCCTGGATGAACAGTGGCTGATGAGTTCTCTCTTTCCTCATGTCCACTAATAATCTTCTTCGTCTTGTCCGTGTTGAGGGTGAGATTATTGTCCTCGCACCATAACACCAGACCGGCCGCCTCCCTCCTGTAGGCTGCTTCGTCCCTGCCAGTGATGCGACCTATCACTGTGGTGTCATCCACAAACTTTAGGATGATGTTGTCCCTGTGGGTGAACAGGGTATAGAGCAGGGGTGCCCACACTTTTTCCCCTTGCGAGCTACTTTTCAAATGACCAAGTCAAAATGATTGATCTACACTAAAAATATTACACACACACAAAAATATATGTATGAATGAGTGTCGTAGTTTTTATGAACACTCTGAAAGTGCCGCTTCACATTTCCCTTCTTCAGAATAGTGATGGTAGATTGGTAGATCAAGCAAACGCACTTCGAATCTAACGTCATGAAAAAAGTTTCTTACTTGATTCGGCTCCCCCACTCATTTTATACCCTTTAGTAGAAATTAATTTGAAGGCTGACAAGGTAGTTCACAGAGTTTTGCAGTAGCTCGTGCAGTTGACTCTGCATGCATTGTGACTCATGTCAGAAAAGACAAGATCTCAGACTGGCTGCCCTGTATGTCTAACAAGTAGCAAATGCCATAGGGAGGATGGATGATAGGCTATATATGAATGACTGTCACTTTTGGCTTTTCCCGTTAGGGGTTGCCACAGCAAATCGTCACACTGACCATTCGCATGTTAACATTTGGGACGTGTTTTACACTGGATACATCTAATTTGTTTCTGAATGGCACGCGATCTACCAACACTACCTTTGCGATCGATCGGTCGATTGTGATCAACGTATTGGGCACCCCTGGTATAAAGAATGAGACTGAGGACACATCTCTGTGGGGTGCCAATGTTCATAATAATGTTGGCTGAAGTCCTATTGCCAATCCTGACAGTCTGAGGCCTGCCAGTCAGAAAGTCCAGGAGCCAATCACAGAGGGTGGGGTGCAGACCCAGTGTGGACAGTTTGTGGGTGAGTTTGTGGGGGACAACTGTGTTGAAGGTGGAGCTGTAGTCAATGAAGAGTATCCTGAAGTAAGAGTCTCCATTTTCCAGGGGAGAAAGGGAATAGTGGAGGGCAGCCGCGATAGCGTCTGAAGTGGCCCTGTAGGCCGGTAGGCATGCAGCAGGGTGTCCAGTGTGTCTGGTATACTGCTCTGGATGTGGGCTAGCACCCTTCTCTCAAAACACTTCATAATGATTGGGGTGAATGCCACTGACCTGTAGTCGTTCAGGCAGGTAACCAGGCTCTTCTTGGGGAGGGGGACGATGGTTGTGGTTTTAAAGCAGGTGGGAACGATGCTCTGGCTGAGGGAGAGATTGAAGATGGTGGTGAGAACATGCCTTGAGAGAGCCCTCCCGGTGCTGCTTTGCGGGGGTCAATCTTCCTCAGGACTTTGTGTACCTGGCCTGGTGAGACAGTTAGTGGGGGGGCAGGGGTCTCAAAGCAGGTGTGGAATGTGTTGAGGTCATCTGGCAGGCTGTCTGTGGGGCTGATGATGCTGGTGGTGGTCCTGTAGTCTGTGATGTGCTGCAGGCCTTGCCACATTCATTCTGTCTGTACTTCGTAGCTTTGTACTCCGTCTCATCGCCTGATCTGAATGCATGAGAGCGAGCACGCAGCATGTGGTGTACCTGACTGTTTATCCAGGGCCTCTGGTTGGGGAACCTCCTGACTTGTATGGTGGGCATGATGTTGTCGATACAGGTACTAATGTACTTGGTCACATACTCAGCATAATCCTGTACGCTGACAGAAAAGTCCGCCGAGGTGGCTGCAGCTTTAAACACATCCCAGTCTGTCTGGGTGAAACAGTCTTGCAGGGTGCCCTCAGTCTCTAGGGTCCAGAGTTTAATTTGTTTGGTGACAAGGTTTGTTTGTTTCAGGCTTTGTCTGTAAGCTGGATACAGGAACAAAGAAATGTGGTTCGAGCATCCGAGGTGGGGGCGGGGTGCAGCCCTGTAAACATGATCCAGAGTATTCCTGCCCCAGGTGGGAATGTTCACATGTTGGTAATATTTGGGAAGTACAGTTCGTAGATTGCACTGGTTAAAATCACCTGCCATGATAAAAACAGCATCAGGGTGAGCTGTCTCTAGCATACTGATGACATCATGGAGTTTGCTGAAAGATGCCAAGGGATTAGCTCTTGGGCTAGCATGTGTGGTACACCTAAAATGTGTTACCACATTGTTTTTATCCATCCATCCATCCATTTTCTTCCGCTTATCCGGGACCGGGTCGCAGGGGCAACAGTCTAAGCAAAGACACCCAGACTTCCCTCTTTCCAGACACTTCCTCCAGCTCCTCTGGGGGACAGCCGAGGCG